CTCGGAGAGTAATCCTTTCATATTTTATGTATCAAAGAATATGAATTACCATATAGCAATGAGTGTCAAATAGAAAATCCAGAAAAATTCCGCAAAATACTAAAAGTTTATAACTATATCAAAACCTATAAAACACATTTCTCCTAACTGGTGTACCATGTGCAAGCTAGCTAATCAATGCCATGCACTGAACTCCAAGAGGAGTCTATTTTGAAAAGAAGCGGGTGCCAATTGACCATTGTCGTGCAAATGAGCAACCGCAATAATTTTAAATCAAGAAAAATTGATTGAGCTTTTTATTACTCTTATAAAAGTGAATATAATAATTTGAGGAAAAAAAAACTATACTAGTAAACACTAATTTTAGTAGCTTATAACTACATATATGTATAATGTATTAAAATAATATCTTGATTGAATGTCTTTCTAACTTACACATGATCAATATTGTAGCATAGTTTTGACAGTGTGTCAAAAAATAAAGAATGGGGTAGGTGTTTATGTATTAGGATTCTAAGGTAAACAGTTTGTATTTTTTAACAGCAAACTACGAGGATATAAGAAAATTTTCCTTTTTTTGTTCAATAAATAAATAAATCAAAACAATATTTGGTTATGAAAATTTTATATTTTTTCAAATCCAACTTGAAAATGTGTTTTCAAAATTGAAAAACGGCTGAGAACCAATTTTTCAATTGAAAAGTTGGTATTTTTAAGTTTTACAAATTTATCCTATATTTTTAAAATTTATAAAAGAACCCCAATCAGTTATTAAATCTAGATAACACCTACAACTATCCACCATTTGATTGAGTGGCCTTGGACTATATTTTGATATCCACTGTTGAGATCTACAATTTATACCTTTACCATAAGGAGCCACTACAACTTCTATTATAGATTGTTCGTACATTAAACAATCTGCATGTTTGATTGTTTGTTTCAAGTAGGATAATCAAGTTGGGATAATTTTGATATTTTTTTATAAATTATGGGGTATAAATCATATTTTATGGTTTTGAAAAAAGTACATCCAAATATGTTACAAAAATTATAACCAAATACAACTTCTTTTTCAAATCAAATTTTAGTGAAATTCCAAATTTGAAAAAAAATCTTGGAATTTCTTCAAATCAAATTTTAGTGAAATTTCAATTTTGAAAAAAAATTCTTGGATTTATGTCCAAACGCCTACTACAAGTAAATGCAATGAGAGGTAGAGCCATGATTTGAAATTTGTGGGTTCGGGATTCTAGATCGTTTATATTAATGAGTTCTGAATTAATAATTTATATATATTTAATAAATTTTTTAAGATAAATATAGGTTTTGGACCAAAGTTGTGCTAGCTCGACACCCTGAACGCTACACGTGGCGCGCTAACTTGAAAATCAAGGCTTGAGAGCACAAGGACGGTCGACTAACTTAGGCCACAACGGGCTTGGTTTGTTTGAAATTAGTCTTCCAACTATGTCGGCCCAGGCCCAGCTCATTTGTGACGCATGCCTAGACGTAAGCCCAAACAATTCCTAAGCCTAATTACACAACTATATATATAGGGATTTCTCTCACTTCTGTCTTTACAAGCCGCAGTTCAATTGCTGGAAGCTAGCCATGGGGAGAAGTAAGTAACTTTGCCCTAATCCCTGTTTCACATTCTAACGCCAATTTCTATCTTCATTTACATTACAATAATTACTTTGAAGATCTGAAAAATTGGGCCCTTACACAAATCTCTATTTCTGAATTGAGATTGATTTTTGTACCATGTTTAGTATTTAGATCATTTCTGAAACAATGCTAGATAAATGGGTAGGTCGTATCATGTTTTCGACAAAATTAGTGGCTTTTAGGTCAATCGTTTAATAACCAGATATAGCTATGATAAAATGGTAGCTTGAAAATGGAATTATATGGCAAAATTTATTTATCCTTTTTTTCCAATATCTATTTTTGCACGTTTATTTTCAAAGCAAGCTCTTTTTTTCCAATCCAATAAAGACTGAGTTGCGAGAATTTGAGAAATTGTAGAGGATGAATTTTTGTGTTTGTAGGAGAATTGTATGCTTGTGAAATGAAAAGGAGCAGTTTCTCATTTTCTTTTGTGTCAAATAAATATCGTTTCTTACTGGATGTGAATTGATTTTTATTTTTTGCACGATTACATAGTGAAATAGGTGATGAAATGTGACCGTGTAAGTTGAATTTATTTTTATCCAAGAATAGGATCTTTATATTTGACTAGCCTTGATATATGTGAATTGATTTTTATTTTTTGCACGATTACATAGTGAAATAGGTGATGAAATGTGACCGTGTAAGTTGAATTTATTTTTATCCAAGAATAGGATCTTTATATTTGACTAGCCTTGATATATGTGAATTGATTTTTATTTTTTGCACGATTACATAGTGAAATAGGTGATGAAATGTGACCGTGTAAGTTGAATTTATTTTTATCCAAGAATAGGATCTTTATATTTGACTAGCCTTGATCATTATTTAATTATTGATTGCGAATACATGTATGAAAAAACTTATTCAGAGCTCCATGAGTCTTGGCGTAGCTAGTTTCAGCATATAATATATCGTAAGGTAGTTTTTTATAGTGCTACTATGCGCCCTGATGCTTGTCGTTTCAAAACTCATTTATTTGAGGGTGCTGTCTAATGGTTTGGATTCTTTTGTGCAGGACCTGCAAGGTGTTACCGCCAGATTAAGAACAAGCCTTACCCAAAATCACGGTTTTGCCGTGGTGTCCCTGATCCAAAGATCAGGATCTATGATGTTGGCATGAAGAAAAAGGGAGTTGATGAGTTTCCTTTCTGTGTACACTTGGTCAGTTGGGAGAAGGAGAATGTCTCAAGTGAGGCACTTGAAGCTGCCCGTATTGCTTGCAACAAGTACATGACCAAGTCTGCTGGGAAGGATGCCTTTCACCTTAGGGTCAGGGTCCATCCTTTCCATGTTTTGCGTATTAATAAGATGTTGTCATGTGCTGGAGCGGATAGGCTCCAAACTGGCATGAGGGGAGCTTTTGGTAAGCCACAGGGTGTTTGTGCTCGTGTTGCAATTGGTCAGGTTCTTTTATCTGTTCGTTGCAAAGATGGAAACAGTAGCCATGCACAAGAGGCTCTACGCCGTGCAAAGTTTAAGTTCCCTGGCCGACAAAAGATCATTGTCAGCAGAAAGTGGTATGTATTTTATCTGAAGGTTCACTTTATATTTTTATGTTTCTGCATTATGTTTGAGAGCCTCGTACTTTTTCCACTCTAAGCATTATTCTGTTATTTACTATTGGTATGTAAGATCGTACTATATTTCACTTGCTTAGTTATTCAGTTTAGGGAGATTCATTCTAAGTAGATATCCTGCAATAAATTACACAATTTTATGTCTTTCAATGCCAAGTTTGTCTTGAAATTGGAAGTTTTGCCCCTTTTTTCTCCTCTGGGGATGAGCTATGTGGCCCTGTTTTTCACCTTGAGACTTGTAAAGTTTCACGATATCTTGGTTTTTTGTTGTCTCATTATAGTTCTGAGCTTAGCCCTCTATTTCTTAGTCCAAAACTTTGTACTAGTCGAGTGTTAAGCAATCTATTTTACCTTCCTGTTGAAATTAGATGCTCAGTTGGAAAATTTGTGCTTGAACCTCACCTGTGTTATCTCTGATTCAGGGGTTTTACCAAGTTTAGCCGTACTGATTATCTGAAATACAAGTCAGAGAACCGTATTGTTCCAGATGGTGTCAATGCAAAGGTTTGTTGTCTTCTTAACCTTTTATCTGAAGAAAGAATTATTTTTGTATTGTTCATCTATAGATCCTTTTACCAGCGGTAATTTGCTTGTTAGAACTTATTCCTTTTCTTTTGTTTTTTTGCAGCTTCTTGGCTGCCATGGTAGACTTGCTGCACGTCAACCTGGAAGGGCCTTTCTAGAAGCTGTTTAGCAAATTGAAGTGGCATAATCCTACAGAGAAGCTGTTTAGCAAATTGAAGTGGCATAATCCTACAAATAGCACATCTAGTTTTCTACTTCTGTTGATTGAAAATTTGTGACTTGAACTTCTGTCTATGCATGAACCTTATCAGTATCCAATTGAACATTTTTCAATTATATTTGAACTGTCTTTTACAAGTATCTTTGTCGAACTGATACCTCTCAATGCAGACTGCGTAAGAACACATTCTCATCCGCCCCTTCAACTAATTAATTCTAATGATTTTAATATTTGCCCATGAAAATTGAAAAAAGAAGGCTTGTTTACGTTTGTTTTCAAGGAATTGGTTTCGTTCAATCAATACGTATTGTGCTTTTTACAGTTGCTAAGAAAAATGCAGTAAGCCAAAAAGAGTAAAATTACTGACGAGATTTATGCTAACTACTTGCCATAACACCTTTTGTTTTTTTTTATGGAAGTCTCGGTGAAGTTGTAGCACAGTAGATTAATATGCTTAAAAATGAATGAACACATGAAGAAATGGCAAACGACTAGCTAGAAAACTCAAAAGCTTGTGTATCAGAAGTTACACATTTCGAAGTTCTGTTCTTGAGAAAATAGTTAGTTATGCTATAGCTAGTGTATTTTATCCATTGCAAATTTCAGTGCTAGGGTGCAACAAACAGTGAATGAAGTCAAATTTTATGCCATCCCCACCTTCCAAAATGCTATCCAGAACGGTCAAACAGCAAACACGTACAGAGCTGTAGCGCCACAAAAAACGACAAAGAACAAACTTCATCCCGACTTGATTTAATGAACTATAGTTTGAAGAGAAGTTACGTGCTTCCAGATGTTATTAGGGTTCTTACCGCTGTTCATATTCATCTTTCATAGTCGATTTCTTATTTTCTGGTACACGCCACACAACAGAGCACGCATTGGCCTAGTCATTTCATTCCATTAAAAGAAAAAGCATGCCGAGAAAAGCTATAGCTTATGATCATCACTTCTCATACTTAACCCATTAATGCTAAAATGAAAGGGCAACACAGCACAACTGAATGAAACATTTCTTTCATGGGATGTAATAGCAAACATATGAGAGTGTTTATGAACTCATTTCAAACTCAAAACTCAGTACAAGATTCAGAATGCCCAAACGTTTCAAAAAGACCATACAGCAACTAGATGCATTTAATAGGGGCCATAAAAGTAAATATCCTCAAAATGATGGTAGAAGTTCCAAAACATGACTTATTTCCTGTTAAAAACAGTAATAGAAAAGAGTCCTCCCCATACAAATGACGAACAGAACTTTAGTATCTGTGTTCTAACTTCTCCTTCTCCTTGAAGTGCTGCACGTACCTGCATGCATAAAGAAACACCATGGCTATTAACTAAGCAACCACACACACACACAGAGACACACATATTTAAGGTGCGGAGAATAGAAGTGGCAACTTGAAACTAGAAACTAGAAACTCTGGTTCGGAACAAATGAGCGGATAGGCTTGACGAAGTTTAGGAAAAATGGGAAAGGGGGGAGGGGATCTGACTCAAAAAGCTCAAGCCAAGAGAAGATAAAAACAATGACCAGAATCTCCTAATAACCTTCAACTGTCTAGTGTACCTAAGTCAATTTACTCTACTGCTGAATGCAGCTCAAATACTAATCCAGATTAAAATCCTATTCTTCCGATTAATTAAAGCTTAAAAAGACTAAGATTTTCGCAGCAGTCACTTTCACTTGCTTGAAGACAACAGCGTCGAACAGAATAAAGCAAACAAAGGAGGGGAGTCTTGGAATAAAGCAAAAAGACTGAGATTAATCATATACTTGCCATTGTGCAGTTGTCTTTCATCTAAATAAATCAACGGAAGATTCACAATCTGCAAAGGCTACACATATCTCATTGGTCGTCTACACAGCTGCCTCCAGACACTCTGATAAACCGACAGGAGTGTTTGGCAATCATGGTCTTATGGCTATTCTAACGGCTCTCTACTGAAGGGGAGTCTTGGCGTAACTGGTAAAGTTGCTGCCATGTAAGCGGGAGGTCACGGGTTCAAGCCGTGGAAACAGCCTCTTGCAGAAATGCAGGGTAAAGCTGCGTACAATATACCCTTGTGGTCCGGCCCTTCCCGGACCCCACGCATAGCGGGAGCTTAGTGCACCGAGCTTCCCTTTTTTTTTTAACGGCTCTCTACTGGTCATATGTTATATTTCAACCAAAGCCTGAGCAACTAAGTTCCCATTTTAAGTGATTTCTTCCATCTGGCTAAGTCGGATTCAAGGTATCCTGTGGAATAGAAACTAAGTTCCCAGATGATTTCTTCCCATCTGCCTAAGCCGGGTAGCAGGTATCCGGTGGAATAGCAACTGAGTTCTCATTCTAGTTGACTTCTTCCCATCTACCTAAGCTAGGCAACAGGTACCCGGAGGAATTGTCGAGGTACGCGCAATCAAAGGCATGGACACCACCGTCATTAAACAAAAAACTAAGCTCCTATTCTAAGCTACAGTCTTCGGTTGGACTTGCTATACATTTCAGTCGTTTTATCCTTGCAGCATATCCGAAAACATATATTAAGCCGGTAAAATAATTAAATTCAAGTTAAATGTTCAATGGCTTATTATTGCATATCGAAATTGAAATAGATCTGAGGATATAAATGATTCATATAGCCGATAAATTTAGTATTCAGGCAAAATTAATTGATTTTTTTAATTTATCGGAATACTTACGAGTAAGTGCCGACGAGAGGAGCGAGCAAGAGAGTAGCGCTGATCCAATTCTCAGACACTTTGTGATGGATTTTACCTGGAAGGTCCTTCCATAGACCTGGCATTACCTTTTGTTGAAATGGAGATAAAGCGTAAACCACTGCTTTCAGTTTAACTGGTTGTTTCCCCATCTTAGCTTAGCTGAATTTTAATGGTGATTTCCCCGATCGATTGATTCGATTAAAAAGCTAGGGCTTGAGATTGAGGAAGAATGATATTGGCATTTGGTAGATGGATGAGGAAATTTCTTCTTCCAGAAAATTCGTTTGGGCTTTCCTTTGGGCTCAACAAGTGTAGCCCAGCCCATCTTGAATCACTTAATTTTCTGGGCCAAGTGCACATATTGTCATTCTCAAGGATGCTATTTAGAGATTAACCAGTATTTATTTTGTTCTGAAATTTTAAACTAAAAATCTTAACTTCAGGACAATTCAGGATATTTTTGTACTGAAAAATTTAATTGCAAAACTAAAATTCAGGATGCCTGGCTAATTCCTAAATAAAATCCTTTTAGAGTGGCTACATTGTGTAATTTCTACTATTTTTTTTGTCGAAAGAAAATAATGAGAGTATATTCACAGTGAATAATTTTACGAAATCAATACATATACTATCCAATTATAACAATTTATTACTCTATTATTCACTCAATTTTCAGAATATCATATTAGATTTGCTAAAAGAAATTACTTGTTAGTAAAAATCAAGTTAACCTGATTTAATATGTTAAAATGGTAAACACTGTCCTTCTGATGAAAATAGTAAACTCTTTTAATACACAAAAGTTAAACTCTTAAAATATACATTTCATGCCGTAGCTATTGTGATTGCGAGAGAAAAGAGGGATGGTGCCTTCCTTTACCATCTGGCGGTTGAAAACAAAAGTGCTTTCAGGTACACGGAATTCATTTGGGTCGACGAGCTTTTTCAGCCCAAAAATAAAGAATCAATGGAATGTCTGTCTATCCATGAACATCTCGGCAGAGGGTTCGAGAATAGGGTAGGGTCCTGTCCTTAAGATACAGATAAGAAAAGAGTTCCAAACCTTTATGCATGCACCTCCGTACAAGTGCTACATACAAAGTTCTGGCCAGGATGATTAAGAAAGATTTAACCAATATGAACCGCTCACATCACAATAGTAGTAGTGTAAAGGCCGTAAGTCAGGGCGGGGGAGGGGAGAGGGGGACGGCCATAACATAAAGCTATTACTTTCACTGCGAGCCTGTCACTACGCTCCTTTGTTACAGAATTAATGGTCAGAAACTTGCCTTACTTAATCTCTTTCGAGATAAAGGTTCTTACAGAGGTGAAGGCACCCATCTCACATAAAATAGTTATAAAGCTTGCGCTCCATTAAGTGTATAGATTGAGATCCAGTAGAAGTGGGAGTGCCGCAAGGCTCTTGAGTTAAATGATGCTTAGGATTGAGGAAGTGGTCTTATTGGCATTCGGAATGGAGTCTGTCCCGAAGGAATCTCATCTCTCTTCCAATAGAACAACCCCTCAAGATAGAGGCTTCAGTCATCGTTAGAATCCCAGGGCGGGCCAAATTACATAAAGAAAGGAGACTTATTTCAAAGTGGTTCAGGTAACTCAGCTGGACTGAAAATCCTTGTGTGGGTTGAATCCATATCCACCTCACAGCAAAGAAAGAGAATGCGGGATAGAGGAATTGGTCAACTCATCAGGCTCATGACCTAAAGATTGCAGGTTCGAATCTTGTCCCCGCCTAATCAGTGGAACATTGTTCACCGGGATAGAAGGCCGGTCCCAACCCGTCTAAAAAATAGGGCTAGTTTTCAGTCTTGGTTGGTTCCAGCTCTTTGCAGGGAGATTTGCTTGGTGTTAAGTCAACTCTACTAGATGCAGTTGCCCAGGAATCCAATGCACTGGTGGTCGGCGTAAGAATAATGACATTTGTCGATATGCTACCGCATGTTTACTAAGATCATCATAGATTAATAATGCGTGCATTCCATTATCGCGGAAATATTCCCCCATGGCACACCCAGAATATGGGGCCAAAAATTATAGAAGAGCAGGATACGAATTTCATCAGTTGTCAACGAAATAGCTTAGAAAATCGTGATAAAGGCTTGAACGTCTACCTCTCAAATTTAAATCTGAAATAAAAAAAATTTAGACTCCCGTCAAGAATATTGCGTTGAAAGGCATGACGTGGATCGCCAACAGGTCTTAGTTTGTCCTCCAGAAAGTGATAAGCTTCTTTCCTAATGTTCGAATAAGGAGATTTATTTAGAAATAATTTTCAACTTTTTCAAAAAATTTAAGTGTTTTAATACTTTAAAAAGAATTTTAGTAGAGATGGGAATAGTTTCTTTTCTAAAAAAGGGGCAGCCCGATACACGAAATATTCCGCGTTTACACAGGGTTCTGGGAAGGACCGCACCCGAAGAGGTGTGATGTAGTCAACCTATCTTAATGTAAAAATCAGTGACTGATTCCACGGCTCGAACCCGTAACCTATTGATCATAGGAAGACAACTTTATGACGGGAATAGTTACTTGAGCTTGAATAAATATTCACCACTACTGGTCATAACGTTGTTGCCTGCAAGGTTATCAACTTAATGTTTTACTAGAGAATAGGAAATTACAATAACAATCTATATTTTAACAGAGGATGTAATAAGTCATAAATTACAAATCCCAAAAAGGAAAGGAAGAAAAGAAAAGAAACCACCCTTGTCAACTAGCTTTGTCAATAACAAACAAATCAAATAATCATTCTACTTTAACACAAACAACTACAGTCAAGAAATCAGTTTGATGTTGTCTTCAGTCTGCTGCATTTCTCTGTCACATACTATTTTCGTCACGTTAAAGGCACATAACTTAGCTGCATTTAGGTCTGAAGTAGCCAAGCCGCTATGCAAATGCACCATCACAAACAGCTACGCCTTAATCCCAAGCGTACAAATGCATCACGAATAGGAAAAAACTTAGCATCCATCACCAACCAGTTTTGGCTCGTTTCATCCCGCTTGAATTAAAAGGAGATACACTACCCCTTGGTTGGGGGCTCTCTTCTCTAAAATTGTTATTCAGCACAGCAAGTTCTCTAAGCTGTTGCCTTTTATACAAGTCCTGCGACTCGTCCTGCAATTCCAGGCCAATGAACATGAAATTAGCAATATATTCCTTGAAATTCTAACACTAATTTTCTGACCTACCTTTTTAAACTACTACTGTATATTTTCAACTCTCCTAGTAAATCACCATGTTAACTCGAACTAAGATGGCGTAGAGGGAGTAGTTACATTAAATCTTTCTCCTATGTGGGTTTTAGTTCTAATAGTAAGTAGACAGTAGGCACCATCTTAAGTATGAAACTAAAGCAGATCATAAGAGATATCTTTTGTTTCATAAAGCATGTCCCGCCCCCTTCTTTTTTTTTTTTTTTTTTTTTTTTGTAAAGTAACTCCTGATAGTTGAACAGTTAAGTAATCATCTCACATTATTTCGCGAAGAGCAAAATATATCACACATCTGTCAACTCTTTCAATCTGTCCATTTGAATATTCATATGTCGACTCTTTCATTGTACAGTTAAGTAATCTGTACAACGACTGTTTTGTCTGCAATTGCTTATAGGTGTATATGTCGGAGTGAGAAGGTGCTTACCACAGGTCTGAGCAACTCTTCAATAATTTGGCTAGCTTGTTTCAACCGTGCGTCAACTATATTGATGGGTAATTCTGCCTCAAGTAGAACATGCAGTGGCTCATTGAGGTGCTCATAACCTGGAAGTCCTCTCAAACTCTCCTCCTTCAATAATATAAGACGAACATGAAGAATAAGCAATATAAGAAAATAATTGGACGAAAAGCAGGACAGTGTGCAGAAAAAGCCAAAGGGCCTTACCTTTTCAGGGTCTTTTATTGAACCCTGTCCTCTTATAAATACGCGACATCCAGTAGACGCTTCCACCCGCTTCAGAGAATTGCCTCGAGGTCCTAAAAGCCGTCCAACAAAGTTGAACTGTGCCATGAGAAATATATGATTTAGTGCAACTAATTTCTACTGCTCAATTAATTTGACAAAAAATTAAAATCTCTTCAAACACATCCCCTTTACTCCCTTCCTCCATCTTAAGTGAACTACTTAATTATGTCGAGTTATCACATAATTATTGGTATAACTACCATCTCCGAGAGTTGAAATTGACATTTCCAATATTATTACGTGGAGTTTAATGTGACGCGTACTGCATCATTATATGTTACAACAGATAATGCAACCTATCATTTCCAAGGTAAATCCAAACTAGATCCATGAAGAAATAGATGGAAACAATAAACAATATCAACAGTCCATAAAGTCAGCTTACATTTGGATATCTGTCGACTGGTATATCCAAACGCAATACCCGCTTCACAACAAATGAACTTGGACTTCCTGGTGAAGCTTGCCAGTCGATGGGCCTTCCCTGTGGTACACCTAATCTTTGCTGCAAAACGAATTTCAGGGATATCAATACAATCATCAAAGCATTAGGAGTACAAGCAGCAATGCAACATAAGAGATGGGTGGGTTGGGGGNAAAGAGTATGTAAATTATTAACTCCACCCACAAAATTTTCTATGACATTCAAACTTCATGATCCAAAAAAATAGCGACGTAAAGAAAAGGCTGACCAAGCCCTTTCAAAAGTCCCTTGCATGTTTTGAGAACAGGAAATGGACATAACTAAGCGTTATCCAGTAAAGAGAAATGGAAATGTAACGGGGTCGGAGGACAGAGTTATACCAAATGATGCCATGGTAGTATAATTACCGAACCTAAGGTGCGAGTTGCTTTTTCTACTGTCAAATAAAGCTGTCAAAAATGAAAACTGACAAATAACAACATATTTCGATGAAAAGTTAAAGCAATTGTTTTAGGGTGAAAATTGACTCAAGCTTCTCAAACAAACAAAAGAACTTATCTAGCCCTCAGCTTCAGCGAAGAATAAGATTAAAAGTTAAAGTGATTGTTTTAGTTCAACTTAGAAAGAGGACATTTCAAATGTCAGTTTCTCCAGAAATGCATTTCAGTTAGCTGTATAGCTTCCACATTGATAGTATACAAACTCGTAAAATGAAGTTTCTTTAAATGATATATTATGAAGCAGCATCCAAAGACCGGACAGCAGTCTGTGATCTGTGGTTGCATCCCACACTTTATACGAATTCTTCCAGTGAGTTAGTAATTTTCAAAAGCTC